CATAGGGCTGCCATTTTCGCTGCCTCGGTAAGCGAGGAATTGGCGCGAAAACGCTGTGGGCAGCCATTTTGTTGACCCGGCGGCCATTTTGGAACCACCGATCAGCTGTTTTTAAAAATCACAATGTGAAGATCGGTAAGCGAAACACTTACCGATCATCCCAATGCGATGTTTTCCCTATTCAAAACATTGCAATGCGATTGCTTTTGCGATTGCAAAATCCGCATCTCTATGCGGATTTGTCGTTAAATAGGGCGCTCGTTGTGCGAGGCACCACTGTATTTGGTTTCTTGGCAGCCACATCACACTGCTGACTCGTGTTCAGCTTGTGGTCTACCATGACTCCTCAATCCCTTTCACAGGTACTGTTGTCTAGCCAGGTGTCTTCCATCCTATATCTCAGCAGTTTATTTTTTCTGCCTAGCTGCAGGACCTTAGATTTCTCCCTGTTGAAATTCATTTTATTAGTTTTGGACTAGGACTCTGATCTGTCAAGGTCATTTTGAATTATAATCCTGTCCTCTGGGGAATTAGCAACCCCTGTCAATTTGGTATCATCTGAAAATTTAATCAACATATGCGCTATTCCTTCATCTAAGTCATGGATAAAGATGTTGAATAACACGGGACCAGAACAGAACCCTGGGGCGTCCCCGGTCATTTTGAATTATAATCCTGTCCTCTGGGGAATTAGCAACCCCTGTCAATTTGGTATCATCTGAAAATTTAATCAACATATGCGCTATTCCTTCATCTAAGTCATGGATAAAGATGTTGAGTAACATGGGACCCAGAACAGAACCCTAGTTCATCCCACTAGTCACCTCTTTCCAGGACGAAGGGGAGCCACTTGTGATCACCCTTTGGGTTCTGTCAGTCACCCAGTTACAAATCCACCCAACAGTAGCACCAAAAGCCTCTTCAAGAGCTTGTTTTTGTTTTGTTTGAAGCAACCTCACATATTAACCACATGTGGTTTCTTGCACATGTCAAATACCACAGAGGACATGTAATCGCCTGAACCTCCAGCAATACATGTGAATCTTGCACAGGAGGAACACAACTGCTCTACTGCAGAAAGGCTGACTGGAGGGAAATCATGGCAGATAATATGAAAAAGCCACTGAACCATCCAGGTGAATAAATTGGGGCCACATTCTCCCTGTCAAGAAAGGCCATCTGTCAGGGAAAATGAGGCAGACTGGCGTGAAAATCAGGACTGAAACCAGATTGAAATGAACCAGGATAATCAATCTCATTCCAAAGTGCCTGGAATTTTAACCAACTCTGTCTATATCTGATAAAATGGCCCTAGCCTAGATATGTCTGTGCTTTAATTAATGTGTCACTTCAACCCATGGTTGTATCAGCTTAAAGAGACACAGCACCTGTAGAATATGTACAAGACACACAGGGGTTGAGAGAAACTCCCTTTCCTTGAAATTTAATCTCTGCTTGCTGTTCTTTCCAGGACCAGACCTTAGCTGAGCTTCAGAACAATATGATGCTGGTGAAGATAGATCTACGGAAAAAAGCTGCCTGCATTGCTGAGCAATATCAAACTGTTCAGAAGCTTCAAGCAACAGCTGCACCCCTGCCGCCACCCTCTTCCACCAAAAAACGTTTCTGTGCCAACAATGAAAATATGCAACCCAAAAGTCAACCTCCGGTTAAGAAGCCTTTTTTGCACAATTTTCTCACTCGCTCAACAGCCCGGTCTGGACTAACAGAGAGCCCCTATAGTCGTATCCTGCGTTCTCGAGGATCTCCACCATTTAAACCCCCCATGCTCTTTGGCAAAAAACACTGAATGTTTTGGGCTGCAGAGGGGTAGCCGGGCATTAGCAACCAGATGCTGCCTTTAAAATATAACAGATAAGGTCTAGACAAAGTCATACTTGGAATAAGCTTATTGGAATAATGACTAAAACCCTATTTCTTTCCATAGGCTTACTCATTAGTGTGACTTAGTCTGGATCCAGCCTAATGTACGAGTGGTTTTTGTATTTTAGTGTGTTGAGGCCTGTTCTTTACTGTAAATTTTAGGGCCGTGATTGTTTTATTTCTTTGGACTACCAATCCCAGAAAGGTCAATTCTGGGAGCTCCACCGGACAGACACCTAAATCTAGCTCTGCTAGGAGGAAGGCCACGCATGCCCAGAAAGGTCAATTCTGGGAGCTCCACCAGACACCTAAATCTAGCTCCGCTAGGAGGAAGGCCACACATGGAAGACCTTGAGGCTTAGTTAGGCCTAGCTGTGTCTAGCTTCCTGTTTAGAAAGGAAGTTTGGACAGAGCTAGAACTAGCTAAGCCTCAAGGCCTTCCAGTTGTGACTTTTCTCCCACATAAGTTATATTTAGGTGTCAGAATGGAGAATTGTGGGGTTTGCCACTTCTCGGCTTTTTGGCTAAGATCAAGTGTAATGTGTGTGTTGTCCAAGAAATCAAACAATCTTAACCCTAGTAAATATTTGGCTTCCCAAAGATGGTTACTATGCATGCCTTTACTGTTTCAGGCCAGCTGCTACTCCAGTGTATGTGTATAGAATCTTTAGAATCTTTTGTCTTGTTTTTCAGACGTATGTATGTTGCTGCATGCTAAATATATATGCATTGTATGTATCAAACCCACAATAAATATACTCTATATTTTCCATTTCACTTCTATTGAATGTTCTTATTAGCTTCTAGTAGTTTAGTATCCTTCTCCACATCCCTGAAATCACCTCCACCTAATATCTTCTGTCTTCAAACTTCATCTTTTGTGAACTAAGGTAATGTAATCCTTACTTTTAAATCATATATTTAAGCTAGTAGTGTTTTTTCAACTAGCAACCTGCCAGTGAAGAGGAATGGGGCAGTGGTACACCATAGTGCTATACATTATTGCCATGTTATTTGCAAAGCCTCAATGAAGATGCTTAGTGCACTTCTAGAATCTCCCACTGCAAACATGACAGCAAAGCATGCAAGAATCACAGAACTTGTGCCAATAGGAATTGCCAGTGTGCATTTCCCCCAGAGGTGCATTTCTTGAAAGGGTTCTCTTTAAAAAGGATTGGGGGGAAACAGCCCTGTATCCATCTGTGATTTCTTGGGAAAATGAAATTGGGTGTACTGAGCAAAATATACTGAAATGTATGGGGCTTTTAGAGGGAGGTGGATTCTGCAACAGCAAAATAAACACATTCTATAGAAACCACCTCCCGAATAGCCTACATCTAGAAAACTACAAAGGAATACTCATAACGCAGAAGTGACTTAATGGCACATAACACAACTTGAAATGGAGGACTTCCTGCCTCATATCAACATTCAGTTTCTGGCAACAGCTCCACACATAAAGCTGAAGAAGCAAAAGCTGGAGATAAAGAAGCTAAGGATAAGGCCATCAAGAACCTAGGCTGAAAATTCCCCAGCCTGGCTCCAGCTCTGCACGCACAGGCCAAGCTCATGTTTAGTCAGAATGTGACCTCAGGGCCTGGAACTTTCAGTTACAATATTTGCCAGACAGATTAGTTTTTGAAAGGATTGACTCAGCTGCTGCATAGCCTTCATGTCTCATATAACTGATGCTAAACAGTGTGAACGTATTGTTCTTGAAGCAGTTTGGTGAGGTCACTCTGCCTTTAAAACTAATTCAATCGGTTTACTTACTGATTTGTGGATTTTAGATTTTAGGCTAGACAGCAGCCAAAATAGCTATAGACGTTAGAACTATGCACAAAACAGGACTAGACAAATTATAATTTTACTACTAATAATAAAATAGTAAGCTGTCAAGTCAATTTTAACTTACAGCTTTTCAGGCTTTCCAGGTAGAGAATAATCAGAACTGGTTTACCATCCCCTTCTTCTGGGGGGTGTGTGTGTGTGCCTTGAATTGTGCAGCTTGCAAGGGTTTACCATCCCCTTCTTCTGGGGGGGGGGGGGCCCTAGAATTGTGCAGCTTGCAAAAGGCCACACCGGCTGGCTCTACTCAGAGGAGGAAAAGTGGGGAATAAAACTCCCAACCCTTGGCACACAGGCTGGCTCTACTCAGAGGAGGAAAACTGGGGAATCAAACTCCCAACCCTAGACTCTGCAGCCACGCACCTAATTGACCGAGCTATCTAGGCATCTGATTTTAAATGACTGAATGAGCAAGCCCACAAGATGAAAGGATATTTTTAATTTTCAAGAAGGGATTGTTAGCACCTGAGGTGAACAAAAAGAAACACTAAACTCTTCAGCTTGGAATCAGTTTTCTAAAGTATACCATACTATACAAAGCTACATCTGCATGGTAGCTGCAGGTATGACAACTGCTTAGCTAGGAATGGCTATAACTTTTGCACATTATTTCCTACACCTGTATGTGGTGATGGCTGGTGCTGTCTTAGTAGTGCTGGTCTGTCTCTGGTGCAGATTTTATAAGCATTTGTGTTCACATGACAATATGAAGTCTGATCCATCACAGTGCAGTGCTTGAAACATCATGTTGCAATTAAATACTCAATGTGCCCACCAATAGCTTCCTTTTCCTCATTTAAGAACAGGACTTTTGTTCCAAATATTGAAAGATAATAATATAAAATGGGTGGCTACATCATCTTTCTATACATCACAGTTGTTTAACCATCCTAGGGACTTTTATAGTTTTAAAATCAAAGTGTGTGGCTCAGTTTAAGAAACTAAAGCACACAACACACTTAAACATTTGTTCACAGATCTCGAGTTTTCAGAATTATAGAAACACAAGAGTCCTGCAGAGAAATTCCCTCAATAACATGATCCGTAGAGCTCGAACCTATGTTGTTCACAAATAAATTCAATTTCAGTCAATGAAATTGGATTCTGGAATGGATAGGCGCATTATTAATTCCAAAGCTGGTGTCCCCATTTTATTTTTCTTCCAATCAAACTTCTTTCCCAACTGGCAAGTTATATTCTTCTCATTGATTTAAATACTGCAGAATAAATGATCTCAGATTTAACAGAAAATAATTGGTGAAACAAGGCACACTGCTCCTGCTAATATTCTTGGCAACAAAAGGGGTGGGGGTGGGAAGAAGGACTAGGCTGTACTTGTATGCAAAATAAATACAGTAGAAGGAAGCAATAGTGGAAAGTATTAAAACTGAATGTTGTCTACAAACAAATTCCAGTAACATGGGAGGAGGGATGAAGTAAGAACTTGTCACATCAGTCCAATATATATCTGTAGTCTCATAAATGAAACATTCCTATTTTAATTCTCAAATTACACTGTCTACAGTACAGTCGGATTTTTCTATCATCCTCCAAAACACCCTCCCTCTTCTGTTATTTACAGGGACGCAATGACAACATTGGCTTAATACCTTAAAAACACACAGCACGTCCATTATTTCATTCTGCTACCAAGTTGCCCAACAGCATCAGCTACTGTATCGTCTTGGCATTGGGTCTAAGCCAGTTATTAGTTGTTTCACCTGTGCATTTCCATATCTGTACTTAAGAAGACAAAAAATACTAGGCTATTTGCCCCATCTCCTTCTTTCTACCAGTCTCCTAACTCCAAAAAGTCCCTGTGCTCACAGTTAAAAAGTACCAGAGGGAAAGGATGAGGACATTGCAGTCCAAGGACTTTCCTTGGCATCTTCAACTAAGGATGAAACAGACACTTCCCTTCCTAACCTGCTGGTTTCTTGACATACAAGTAATGACCAAGTTAGGGTGCTCTGGAAAAAGCATGTTGTGAAGAAGAGGAGCAGAAAAGTACTTCCATCAAATTGTAAGGTATGGAAAGAGGCTTCCTCTTTTTACAGAGAAGTCAAACCAGCTAGAAGAGAATATCGAGGAAAAGCAGAGTGGATTCAGTTCACTCAGGCTATTAATTAAGCCAAAGGTTCACAGTCGATGAGCCATCCCATTCCCAACCACTGGTGATCAGCATTCAGCCTTCCACTGAAGGCAGCACTGACTGCCAAACCTTCACTAGAATGGCAGCACAAGGAGGAAGCATCCTGGCTGCCCCTAGGACTACTCTTTCTGCTCAGGCCAGCTTAGAGAGGCAGGCACACCTTAAGGTGTAATGTTAGACAAGTTTAGGGGTGACACACGGCGTGTTGGGGTATTGTTGGCAGAAAGTGAAGAGGGAAGTAAAAAAGGTGTGGCAATCTCTGTAGACGACGTCTCCCCTTGGTTTCGCAATTGTAAGATTTGCCGTAAGAGGGCCTTCCCTTCTTCTCTTGTCTGGAGGAGAAAGAAAACTGTGTCAGCAAAAAGAAAACGCATGACAACAGCAGAAAAGAAATTACAAAGCCCTTCTTGTGTGGACTCTAGCCATACTAAGTGGGAAGCATCTGAGGGCTTGGGTACCACAGAGAAGGCCTCCAGCAATCCCCTGTGTATTGTCTACCTATGATTTACATTCTATTTAGCAGCTGAAATCCTGCTGCACAATTAAGAAATCTATATAGACATTTCCTGTCGCATACTGAGTCACACAACCCAGCAAGCAACAGATAATGCCTGCAGAGATTTTTTAAGTAACAGCAATTTGTTTCTCAAAGTTACTCAGTTTGCGCAAGAGGATTTCAGCTAGTGAATTGTTTTTCAGCAAATGACAACCCAACATAAAACATTTGCAAGTGCTGGTATAATATAGGGGGTTTGAGAGCACACTAGAGTTCAAGAAGGCTCTATTTTCCTTTTAAGAAAACACTGGAGAAGCAGCATCAATCTTACATTTGTTACTACTTCTAAAGACACAATTTGCATATATTAAAAATGACATATCTATTAACAGGGAAAACATCTTTGTTTATGGCTATGATATACTTGATTTTGACTTACCACAACAGTTAAAATCATGCCAGCCTGATGTGTTAGCTTCATTTTTTAAAAAAAATATCCAAATCTTGTTTGAAACAATTAATAAATGCCTAGTTTGCTTTATCATTATTTTGTGTCATATATTTTTTTTCTTAGCCATGGTAAAAACCGTATGCAGGATCTCTTAGAACGGCTTTATATTTGTTTGTTATGTTAAGCCAGAGTGATTCACAGGTTACCTTGCTCTTATCGTTTAGCCAGAACAAACAGGAGGATCTCTCTGCCTACATCACATTATAGCTTAAAGATGGTGATTTAACACCACCTGTGGGCAGAAGTGCAGAATATGCATTGGGCTTCAGTAAGAGAGTTCACACTGACAACCGTTGGTTACTTACATCATTGAAGGCACAGCATTTCTGTGCACAGGCTGAGGCTTCATCCCAGAGTTTACACTTGAAGTAGTACTGTGCAAGGTAGCGGAAGGCAGTGCTCACTTCCAGGTGCTCCACTATCTCCTAGGAGAGGACAGAGGCATTTAGGATCTGACCACTTCTCGTCTCTTTCATTTGTAAAATCATAGGGAACTAATTTACCCCACACGAGTAGATGTCTTGGATGTACTTGATATAGCACTGAGCGGCTTGCTCTGATTCATTCAACTGCTCATGAAGCCTGGGAGGGAAAAGAAAACACAAGAAAATATCCTTGGGTTGGCCAGTACGAAAACCCTACAACAGCAGGAATTACTTATCCACTGTAAATCTCCAGGACAGAACTGAAAGTGCTACCCAAACAATTTCAACTGTGATTAGACAATGTTACAGAGTCTACTGAACAGAAATTGCTTTTATAGCGCAAAACAGCCTTCAAACAATGCCTTAATATCTGTGTCTGCCATGCACAGGCACTTCCAACAATTACTTTCACAATAGTAAGAAAATATTCCATGTCAATATTACTGCTAGCCCACAGTTGAAAGCCCAACACAATTAGAAGAAACAGAAACACGGTTAATTACTCACTTTGCTAGCTTCACCAGTGCCATTTTCTCCACATCTCCTACAGCGTACGCCCTCCAATAGCACTGCAAGGGAACAACAGTCAAACAGAAGAGAAATGTCTTACTCAGACTCAAGGGCATATGCTCGCATATTTGCCACACTCCTTTCTCGTATAGGTGGCTGTGACTAGGCTACAGCATATCCAAGATAGAATAATGCAAAATTGATTTAGAAATTCTAATTCTAATAAAATTAACCCCAAGAAAATAGCTCTGAATTTTAGGCAACACTCTAGACAAATGAAGCAGAATGCCATTTGAAAGAATGATCCCTATCATAATACTCAACCCACACAAGCTGATAAATAGGGGGTGGGGGAAATCTATTCAAAGCATTTTTTGGCTCCTTTCCCTGGTACCTATGATCCAGCCATGTACCTTCACTGTTCAGTCCTTTCTCTAAAGATGCTGCACAGACTGAGGCAATTTTCTCACAGGGCAGTCTGGCGGAAACATCTGCAATGCCCAACAGTCCCACTGAGTTAGCCCGCATGCCCGTTTGTTGTTGTGTGTTTGAGCCCTCTCATACCTTTTTGGCTTCTACTAGCTGATTTAATTTCTCATAACATTCTCCAAGAGCAACCAGCATACGGGAATCATTGGGTCTGTGAGAAACACAAAACACCCAGCTAGGTGACAAAAAGACCCAACTGACTCAGAAATCAAGAGCCACCTTGAAGACACCAAATGGGTCCACGAAAATGAGCAATCAAATAAAGAGTCTGTGACACTGAGATTCTTAGTTCTGCTACTGCTAAGGTTTCAAGGCTGTATTTTAAATTTTGATTGTCCCCCACTTGCCCCCTTGAACTGGACTGCAGGCACAGTCTGGAAACCATGAGAGATTCTTTGATCTGTATGACATGCCAATGTCACCTTAAATTTGGGGACCAACTATGTCAATCAGATTTTTAAAAGATGACAGCTATAATCCTCCATCTCAGGTAAATCCACAACAGCCTGCTCCAAAATACACATTTCTTTATTTACAGAAGAATCGTAATAATGCACGTTGCAATTTAAAAATATAAACAGCTGCTTTTTTTAATATAATAGGAAGAATACTGAGGCCAGTAGTGTTACCTGAGCTGATGGGCCCGCCGGTAGTAATAGAGGCAGTAAAATGGCATTTTGAGGATCTCATATGTTTGCCCCAGTCCATACCATGCTCTGTAGTCTCTTTTATTCACTTCTATGGCATGTCTGGGAAGAAAATCATGGCAACGGGGTGCAGAGAGATGAACAACAATTGAATAAGGATCTTGCTAAAGCACTTTCCACTATAGTCAGAAGCCTCAGTGAACCCTTCATTTTGGAAGGCACCTGTTCACACACATACACACCTATATGCCTGGATAGCTGCCGATGTGTTTTTCATCTCCATATATTCATGTCCCATGAGAGTCCATGCTCCAAGATACCGAGGATTCAGCTTCAATGCTCTCTGGAAATAGAGGGCAGCTTTCTCATGCTGAGAGCGCAAACTGTAGTAATTTCCTAAGGTAAAGACATAATGAGGAGCGAACAAAAGATAACCCAAGACTGGGAACACCAACCTAGTTCACATGGTCTCACAGGCAATATGATCACTGAACCCCTCTAGCCCCTCTTCGGGCAAGTGTGAAGGAAGATCTCTCACCAATTACACAGCAGGTTTCCACACGGTATTTGTCAATCTCACATAGATTATGGGCCAAATAGCTCAATTCTGGCTTCATACCCTAGGATGACAAACGATCATAAGCATGAACCTTACAGTGGGAGACACAAACTACAAGGATCAGAAATGTACTTGTCTAAAACTGTTGCAGCAAGAGGAGCATTTTCAAGCCTCAAATTCAATCACTGGATTGTCTAGCTAGGATATGCCAGTAAAAAGCAAACATCAATGCTTAAGTGGCTGAAGCTCTGGGTCTGGTTAACAAGCCCTTCAAAGGCATCAGAATGTTGTCTAATTTGCCATCAGGCTAAAAATCAAACACAAATTATAGTATAAACCACTACCTTTTAAAATGTACTAGCAGAAACAAGCAGCTCAAACATGCTACCCACTTTTACGTTGCAGTCCTCAGCAAAAACTGGCAACAAAATATTAGTGATTTGGGATATCTGGAAATCATTACAAGTCAGAGGAAACACTTCTTTCAATTTCGTTCAACATCTAAAACAACCTAAGTTGGTTCATATCATCTTCATATAATTTGCAGCTGTTTGTTCTTTCATAGTCTCTTTGCCAATATCTTTACTCATTATGGACCCAAACTTCCTATTATCCTGCTTAAAATAAACTCCTTTCACCCAACACAGATGTGAAAGCTTCTTGTATATCATCCAGCCCAGTCCTTGCTCCATGCAATTCTGGACAGATGGAGCGCCATCTAGATGGCAATAACGAGAATAAGTCCCACTTAAATTCAGTGGTAACAGTTTTTGAGAAAACTTGCTTAGGATCCTACTGATACTGTATGCATATTGGAGGCTTGTTGCAGGAGTGTGATGGCATGCATGTTGGTGGCGAGAAAAGGATACTTACCCTGACATAGAGCAGATTAGAGAAGGTATCCATATTTTCTATCCTATAAGGGTCCTGTTTTCTTAGTTCATTGAAGATGGACAAAGCTTTATCAATATCTGAAATAAAAGCCAGGCACTACAGTAAGCCCATCAGAAAACTAAAGAGGAGACCAGTCAAGCCTCAAAGGAGTCACTGACCTCTAATGTTGTGATAAGCCACCGCAATCTGGGAAATAATATAAGTGCTCTTGGAAAATCCAGCATCAATAAGACTCTGATATTTCTGCAATGCCTCTTCTATCAGTTGCAGCTCCGTGTAGATGTGTGCCAGGAAGAACTCCTTCATCCAGGTATCTGGCAAGGACAGGAACTTCAGCTGGCAGCAACAACCAAACAGAAGAGGAACACACTTAGAGAAGGCGTTTGCTGCAACCCCCAAGGATTGCCAGAACAAGGGGTTAACTCTATCCAACCATTCATGTTACTGGATCTTTGGGAAAGATTAATGTACTGTATATACCTCAGCTATTAAGCTACCTAATGTTTGCCAGCTAAACCACCCTGATTTTGAATCACATAGACAAACATGAAGATCATCGATTCTAGAGCCGTTAATAAATAGACCAAACTATACAAGAAAGCATGGACCAGGCCTAGAATCATCATGCACATCCCATCTGAGAATCTCCAAGCTTACCATTTCCTTGTCTGTGATCAAGTTACAAAGCTCCAGCCAAGCCCCCCAGTGGAGAGGCAAAACATGGGTAGCTTCAACAAAGACATCAATAGCTTCCTTCACTAAGTCCAGCTTTCGCAGTACAACTCCATACCTGACAAGATAAATATAAAAACTACAAGGCAACAGCTCATTATCATGCCCCAATTTAATACACTGGGATAGTTTTAAGAATTCCGGCTTATTGTTTTATGAGCAACATATTCATGAAAGCTCGCCGATTACTGCCGCTTAGCTCTTCCTATCAAGAGGAGCAACTAAAAAAGGTAAGGACCCTCTAGCATTCTTCCATTTAATGTTACATCTGAATCAGGCCTATTGGCTTGTTGCTTCCCCCAAAATCCAATAATCAGAAGCCAAGAACAAACTATGGATTCAAATGTTAGCTTTGCATGCTTTTTACACCAAATATCATTGCAAGCCTCAGAGATCTACGTTTCCATTTTTGATCATAAGAACCATTTTGACACACTGCTCAGGACAGGATCATCATTTTCATACAGAATGAAAATACTATGCGTTTCTTTTCCATTCCCATCCCTACACCATGTTTCTCCCAGATGCTTACAGATAGAGGCCAAATCCATCAAGCTCTCGGGCTTTGTGTTTCTTGCTGAGCTCTACCCGTAACTCTCTCAGAACTTCATTCTTCACCTGCCCCTTTTCTAGGGGGCCTGTAGAAATAGAGCAATCCAGTTTTTAGTATCTTTACTACCTTCACCCAAATGGCATAAAATCAACCCATTTAGAGCATTAACAGTATTTCTAGACTGACATCAGAACAAATAGTTACAGAAGCCCAAGACAATTTTCTATACATCACACTGTATAGAGGCACTGTTTTACAGTGGTTCTGCTCCTACCTGGCTGATCGAGTCCAGAAGGTGGTGCTGGGGGACAGTAGCTCTGATCCATGGCGGTTGCGTCATGGGGTTCCTCAGGGCTCTATACTGTCCCCCATGCTGTTCAATATCTACATGAAACTGCTGGGGGAGATCATTAGCAGGTTTGGGCTGAGGAGTCAGCAATATGCTGACGACACCCAGCTCTCCCTCTCACTTTCTACCAATCCAGGTGTGGCAGTCACTGTTCTGAACTCATGCCTGGACTCAATAATGGTCTGGATGAGGGTCAATAAACTGAGGCTCAATCCAGATAAGTCAGAAGTGTTGCTAGTGGGTGCCCCGCCAGATAGGTTAAAGGGCCATTTCCCTGCCTTAGACGGGATTACACTCCCCCGAAAGGACAAGGTCCGCAGCTTGGGGGTGCTCCTTGACCCCGGTCTGACCTTGGAAGCCCAGGTGGACTCGGTGTCCAGGGGTGCCTTCTTACAGCTGCGGAGAATATATCAACTTCGCCCTTATCTGGATGAGCGGCGCCTGGCAAGAGTCACTCATGCACTGGTAACAACCAGACTGGACTACTGCAATGCACTATATGTGGGGCAGCCTTTGAAGACAATCTGGCGACTGCAACTGGCACAGAACCGGGCTGCGCGGTTTGGTAAGTGGTGCCGCCACACGGACTCATATCACGCCAGTTCTGAAAAATTTACACTGGCTGCCAGTTGCTGCTCGGGCCCAATTCAAAGAGCTTGCTCTGACATATAAAGCCCTAAACGGCTTAGGACCTGGTTACCTAAAGGACCGCCTTCTTCCATACGAGCCTGCCCATCCTCTAAGATCAGGCCAGGAGGCCCTTCTGAAGGTGCCATCCCTGAAAGAGGTGATGGGGTTGGCATGTCGAAATAGGGCCTTCTTGGCTGTTGCCCCCCAACTTTGGAATGCCCTCCCTATAGAGATCCGCCTGGCTCCAACACTTTTCGCTTTTCGGCGCCAGACAAAGACCTTTCTGTTTAGCTAGCATTTTAATTAAACAGTATTCTCTAGCTGGCCATATAAGGAGCAAGACCTATTAATATTAATGTTTTAAGTTTTAATATTGTACGCCGCCCAGAAGCCACTGGTAATGGTGCGGCTAAAAATATTGTAAATAAATAAATTAATAAATACGATCTCATATTGTAAATAAATAAATAAATAAACAAGATCTCTTATCACTAATTTCTGCATTAACAGAAATTTCAACAGATGGGAAACCTTGGCATCTGAGCGTTCAGCCAGGAGGCAGGTGGTGCATCATGGCCTCTCCCATTTTGAAGAGACAGTTGTCCAGCAGGCCGAGGCAGCCCCTCAACTAGCAAAACCAGGGAGCTGGACAGGGAATAGATTGTATTTGTCTTCAGTGTGGAAGGGATTGTCACTCTCGAATTGGCCTTCTCAACCACACTAGACGCTGTTCCAAGTCCTCTATTCAGAGTACATTACCATAGTCTCTCGAGACTGAAGGATGCCTAATCTAATGTAATTTCTGCATTCAGTCTATGTGGATGAAGACCACCAGATTAGGTGAGAAGTTCACACTACCCCAACAGTATCTGGATCCAAGGTATTTTACAACTTACGCATAGCACTGTTTTTATTTTAAGGCTTTAGGCAATCCCAGAGTCTCCCACAAAAGAATCAGGAAAAATACACTACTTGGCTCTACTACAGTTCAAGCTAGTAAGAAGATGACATAGCTATAATATTTCTAGATCTGAACTACCTTTGGTGCTCTGTGCAATGTCACATTTAGTAATTACATACTGCTGAGGTTTTTCTCCATTTTTTCTAAAGCCATTTTTCTAGAAAAATTGGAAAAATAATGGAGTGTGCAATATGTTCTTTTACAATGATAAATAATATGTCTATGACATGGTATTCAAACAATATAACATGAAGACCTTAATGAAAGACTTCTGAGACTTTATGTATTTAAGTTCTGTGATAGCCTCTGCATATGTGCATAAAGGCAAAAATGTACATTACACACAATTTAGTTATTAGCTAGAATCCTCTTGCACACTTTATACTGTGCAAGTGATACTGTTTATATTGTGATGACATCATCCCACAATGATAATATTTAATTTGATAGAAAGTTTCCCATTCCTCTCTGCCTTCCAGTTCCAAGGCTCCCTCAATGTCGAGAAGTTGTTGGGAGTCTCAGGACAGGAAGAGCCTTTAAGATGCAAAATTACTGCTGGGTCACCAGGAACAGTTCCAATCTATTTCCCGTAGAGTCTCATAGAGAGAAGTTAAACCAGTTTAAACACAGAGAAATAAATTATAGGGAAGAAAGGGGAAAATAATAGGTTTGATCTTAGCTTTACCTTGTTTTTTTTATCTCTTTTGAAATGTTTAAATGAATGCCTAGCTAAAGAGAAGTAATTGCAACCGAAGAAACAGCACATAATGTGGGAAAAACCAAACCTGAATGAAAGATTGGTTTCAGGTTCCTTACCAAGACTATCAACTGTCTCATCGTCCTTTTTCTTCTCACCTGACTGCAAAAACAAACAAAAACTTAATTTAAGAATGATGTCATATTATGCTATATTCACATATTTGTGACAACAGCCACTAGAAACAGAAAGAAGAAAACTATTTTTTGCACACACACATACACAGAGCTGCAGTTCCATGAAGAAAAAACAGACAAAAGTAGAGAAAATGGACTGCTTCATCTTATTAACTCACCAAATATCGAGAATACATATACAGAAAATAGGCCTTCTGGCTCTTGCAACCTCGGAGAAAGTAAGCAGCCCTATCATATTCTTTCAGATCAAAGTAAGATTTAGCAAGGGTGTAAGCATCCAAGTCACAAGCATCTTCCTAAGAAAGAGAGAGAGAGAAATAAAGCTTACTGTAGTTGCATGCTTTTCTAAAACTCTTCTGGAAGGAACACTTCAGGGGAAGATGATAAATGCTTTTCTGGATCTCAATATATCAATTTCACAAAAATGGAAGAACTGAGTTAAGAACAGGCATTTTCAAATTATATTTGACTACATTTACATTGCTTATAAAACAAGATGGCCTCCCTCAGAACAGTTAGTAGAAAATCAGTTCACACTAATCCTCTGGAATAAGATTTTTTAAAATATCTAGGAATCTGAAAACAGGTCTAAGAAAGAACTTTAATATATAATTGAACAATAGGCCACAGAGTAAATTAAAAAGTCTGTGAAAATAAAGAGGTATTTACTTGGCAGCAAAACATCAGCAAATATATCTGGGAAGGACAATTAGCAGTTGGGAAGCTACCACTGAAAAGATTCTTTCAAAATAGGTATCTGTGTCAGATCACTATGCAAAGCTATTTAGAGCAGTGGTCCCCAACCTTGGGCCTCCAGATGTTCTTGGACTACAACTCCCAGACGCCTTCACCACCACCCGTGCTGGCCAGGATTTCTGGGAGTTGAAGTCCATGAACATCTGGAGGCCCAAGGCTGGGGACCACTGATTTAGAGTATAACTTCTGGCTTCAGAAGATAGCTAAAAATGCAAAAGAGATGGGAGCTATATGGGCATTATTGGCATTACTGCTTTCAGCTACCATCAAATCTACTGTTGTGCTTTCTGGCAGCTTCACATGATTCCAGGCTGTTACAGCAACAGCTCCTCCATGCGTTCATGCCGTACCTCTGTGAGTGCAGGTGCAGGAGGCAACTCATTCAAAGGCAAAGGGTCCAGGGCAAAAGCCAGCTCCGAGGCCCTGAAACAAGAAAATCCACCATACTGAAAAAAACTTGGCTCACAGCAATTCATTCCAGCCACACACACATGTAGGTGCGTTTTTTTTCATGCTATAGACATCCCAGCAAGCAGTGTTGACATAACTCACACATATACACTGTGCACAAATCCATCACATCACCTACCACAATAACAGTCTTCACAAAGCAACATCAATCTTGATTTCTCTAAAAGGTTTGTAGACACTCACCCCCTTCCTCACCACCACTACAAGTTCACGCCTGCTCAACAGCAAGATGGCATAAGGCAAACACCTTTATTTCAAAGCAGAGCTAGGGAACCCATGGTCTCCTAATGCTGCTAGACTCCAGTTACCATCTGCCACAGCGAGTCTAGGCAATGGCAAAGGAAGATGGAAGCAGCAATTAAGAAACATCTGGAGGGCGAAGGATACTTTTGAGCCTTCCTTGCCTCAAAGGTCAACAAGATGCAGGCACCGCCGCCAACCTTACTTCTTGCTCCCGTGCACGGAGCATCCCCCCTCTTCCCTTATGGGAGGCGGAGCCACTAGGCGCCCTAAATAGGAACACGAAAACTAGCTGGGCCCCATTGGCCTCACCATTTCCCGCTATGCTGCAAGCCGCGTTCCCGGCTCCGCTCCGCTACATCCAGCAACTGTTTCTTGATCTCCCGCAGGTCCGAGAAATCCGCGCTGGCAAAGCCAGCCCCGACCGAGGCCGCAGCACTCCCGGCCGCCATCTTCCCAGAGTCTTCTCGGAGCGCGCGCGAGACGCGGAGCTAAGATCCGATTGGACGACGCCTCTGAGCAACTCCGGCGAATGAAAACGAGCAGCACAAATCTTGAACAGTGACTGGCTGAGAAATGATAGCGTTTGAGGAAAGGGGCGGGGCGGTGAATCCGGGAGTCCTCGCGACTTTGTCCGAACCAAAGGGGTGGCGCTTCGTCATGTTTTGAGCAGAGTAGTTGCTACAAATATATGTGTTCTTTTAATTGGGAGCAAGCGGGGCAAAAGGGAAGCAGTTTGCATTGTGAAATACAGATGTGCCTATTGGGGAGGGTATTTTTTTTTAAATTTCCTTTACATCGTAACGAATGAACCTTCACAACGAAGGGAGGCGGAGTATACTGAGAAATGAAGTATTCCGGACCTGGTGTTGTTCTGCATAACGAATGTATAGCTATCGAGTCTTGTGGTTTCCAATCTCTGAATCAGAGATTGGAAAAGTTGGGTTGCAGCTCCCTGGCAACCAGGCCCAGCCGGGGAAGGGAAGGTGGCCTAAGCGCTGTCCTTCCGAATTTACGATGCACATATAGTGTCTCGAACTATATGTGTATGCCTTGTTGGGCAAAGAAGAGGAGAGAAAAAAGCAAAATACTGCCTCAACTTTAAAGGCTATCAGTTTTATTTCAGTGTGAGCTTTTCTGAATAAAAACCCACTTCAGAGTTGGATCCATGAACAATTGCATATTATCATTATTTATTTATCTGTATTAATTACAGCCTGCCTTTCTCCTTGAAAGGACTCAAGAAAGCATACATTATTCAAATAAACAATGTAAAAACTGGGTGCCATTATATTTGTTTGTTCTGATATATTATCTATTATCTTTTGAGTTCCAGCACTCCTTGAAGATAAGAGAGAAAGAGACTTTGGAATTCTTAGGTGGAAGGTGAGGTTTGGGGTTGACATAGCTCTGCTTTGGGGACCCCAGTTGCCTTATTTTTTAGTGCTTGCTGCCACTGTACCAAGTTTGTGCCTGGACATTTCTTCATGATGGTGATACCAAGGAAAGCTACATCTTAGAATTGATCAATGAATAAACAATTGACATTAAATTTAGTGAAAGACCAGGCCTCTGAAGAACCCAGCCCTGAAATATTCACATCTAGCTCAAAGGTGTTTATGGCTGACATACAATAACAATGTACTGTAACTCTTTCCTTTCACCTATTCATCCTTTTAGTGTAACAGATGTTCCATCATTGGACTGTTTGTAGGAGGAAATCAACAAGTAACATACATAAGCGAGACACAGTATTGAAGGTCATATATCAGGGCCCAGAAAGACAACACAAAAACATATCAATAGATAAGGGAAATACTGTAGATACTCTATACCCCAGACTTTTAGGCACATCATGGGCATAGGTCAAGGAAAGATGCGGGCACAATATGCATTCCTATATGTAGCCAATCAATTAGCATAGTTGGCATCAATTATCCAATGAGGGAATGGATCCAAAGTTGGGGCACAATTGATCAATAAAATCTTAGTCTTTTATGACTCTTTGTTTGTATTATTATAAAATGCATGTACACTATATGTTTGGGGGTCTTCTCTGCTTTTAAGGGAAATCCCAGCTGACCTTTCTTGCATTTTGCTTTCTAAAATAAAATCGGACCTTCAGCTCAGCTGCTGCGTCTCTGCCTGATTCCTTGCCAGAGAATCTTAGAACCCAGGTTTGGCTGGTAACAGTGGGATCTTGCCTTTTCTGCAGTTCAACTACCAACATAGTAAACATCACATCAGATCTCTTTTGTTGCGGGAACAGCCTTCGTAAAGAAATGTTTTGTGTTAGGGGGTGAGAGAACTGACATACAATTATACTGAAATAAGGTGGCTACATTTTGAGGTGTTAAAATGTTCTAAAGTTCCAATTCAGACTGTAGGTGGGGCTTCAGATTTTTTTAAAAAATACTGTCTGATGTAAAAACAGAAAACTCTCTGCAAAAAGGGATTTCAAATATCAACAACAATGGTGCAGTAGAGAGTTACCTGAAATGGAACCATTCTCCTTATGTTGCTTTTTTGCTTGCAAATATTGCAAGATAGAGGAATTTTAAAAAATCTCATCATCCCAACTGCAGTCTGGTGAGCAAGCCAATCTCAGGTGAAAACAGTGAAGAAATTTACAGCTGTGTTCCAACAGACTAACGATTCTCATTGTGTAGTAGAACATGGTCCCGGTTGTCTCTTATTTGTTTTGTCAATCCTGCTATAAGACCCAACAGTTGCATAGAGTATTGGGTTCTCTGTACTATTGCCAAAATTAACAAAATGGACAGAACCTATACCAGGGTTTGGCTAGAGATCTGTGTATCCATATTCTATAGGCCTAAATTCATTTACTAGTCCCAACGAATAAATATGAATTAACTGCTGAAGGGTACATCAACACTTGGGTAAATCCCATGGATTTCAAAGAGATCTACTCTATTTAGAACAGGGGTGTCAAATGTGCGGCCCGGGGACCATTTGCGGCCCACCGGATGATAGTTTGCGGCCCCCGCCTTGCCTAACCCCCCTGAAGCTCCCACGCGTCCTCTGCTGTCAAGAGTAAAAAAAAAAAAGCTTCACCTCGCTCGCCGGCTCTCCCCCAGGACAGCGCCTCTTGCACCCTCCATCCAGAACTACAGCCTGCCAGACAGCCTGCCTGTCTGCCAGCTGGCAAACTGCAGTTCTGGATGGAGGGTGCGCTGTCTTGGAAGAAAGCCGGCGAGTGAGGCATGCTGCCAGCCCTTTTCCCCGAGCGCCTGAGCCACTGCCGAGTGATGCCTGAGAGCGGAGCCCGCTCCCAGCCTGCCCTCAAAGAGCGCCTCCAACAGCACCACCAACAGCAGCTGCCGCCGCTACCTCTTCCAAGGAAGCGGCTTTCTGGCTCTCTTTCTCTCTTGGCATCCCCAGCACCAGCCCAGCACCAGCCCGGTCAGCCTCAGCACAGCTGCCGCCGCTACCTCTTCCAAGGAAGCGGCTTTCTGGCTCTCTTTCTCTATCGGCATCCCCAACACCAGCCGGTCAGTGGCCGCCTCAGCATCCAGAAGTGCTTCCTCCTCCTCCTCTTCGTCCTGCTTCAGCCGCCTCAGTTCTGGAGGCTGCCTGGGCTCGCCTCGCAAAGTTTGCTCCTCTGTTGTGGTGGGGGTACCTGCTACTGCTGAGTGCGCCTTTTTTTGAGGGGGGCCCTCAGTGGAAGGTTGCTGGACCTCTGTGAGGCTGTTTAAACCATCGTTAAGCGAAACAGGGGACCCAAAATGTAATCGCTATGCGAAGCATGGTCCCAACCATCGCTAAGCGAAAATCGCCCATAGGGACCATTGTTAAACGAAGCGCAAAAACACTCCGGAAAAGTCATCGCTAAGCGATTTCGTCGTTAAACGGAGCAATCGCTAAGTGAGGCACCACTATTTCCAGTCTGCATGCAGACTGAGAATGATGAGAATGGCGATCCCAGACATGTGGAGAGCACAAGGGATGAGGGGAGTAGACTATAATTAATAGTTAGGAGGCCTCTCCCCCTCTGGATCATTTCAAGATAGTTTTTGAGAAATTTTATCTGGAAACTTAATTTGATTCTTTGTGGAAGAGGTTTATTTTACAATTCAGGGCTTCTACTATGGCAATTATTTCCTGGATACAGCTTGTAACTGTGTAAGTCTGCTCATGTGGGTTTAAATAGCAAGAATGCTTGCAATATCTTATTTAGGCCTGTGCTCCCAGCTGTGGGGTTGGAACAGACTAAACTGTAAAATGGGACTTGAATGCATTGGAGTGTGTGTCATGGCCATTTGTCCTGGGACATGACTGGTGGGTAAATTTTGCATTTAATGGTTTCTTGCAGAAAATTGCTTGTACAGTATATGCCTAATACCAAATCCCTTGGTCCAGGTGTTAATGGTTTCAGTAGTAAATCACAAGTAGAGAAGACCCATTGAATCTGTGGGGATTTTGAATCTGTGGGGATTTGGTGAGTCAAGTTCTCATTAGGTTCCACTGATTCAATGGGCCTACTCTAGTTGTGATGTACTACTGGATTTCACTCAGTACTTATAGACCAGGTGTGGTTTCCTTTTTCACAGGCTCCCCGTCCTAACCATACTAGGTGTTAAAATCTCATAACTTTCTCAAGAGATCCATTTGGTGGTTCAAAAGTTCATGTTTGCACAGAAACATTCCGTTAGTATCAGTCAGCAGATACTGCTAGAACCTAGAAGAACCTGCTTTTGTTTCTTTGTAAAGCTGCAAAGGACTAGTGCCAACACTTTTAAGCACTGTAGCTTTGTTTGTTTTTTAAAAAAATCTTCCTGCATGTGTACATGTACTTCTAGCAGTTGAGCCCCAAAGTTAGTCTCTACTATCAAAAGTACGAATTGTTTTTTCAGCTTCTGATCATGCTGAATGTCTCCTTAGATGTGGAGCAAGAATGTTAAGGATTCCATGTATGCATTCTCCTGTCCCGTTGCTTCAGAAATGTACACTAATGATAGCCATCACCATCATTTTTTCACAATTACTGTAATATAATACCATTTTACTGTTAAAAGTATTTGGTTAGAGTTCCCCAACATCATGAAAAAAGAACATATTATCATCATTAACATATCACTGCACTCTGTAATTAACATAATAGGAAGATTTTACATTTGGTTAGAGTTCCCCAACATCATGAAAGAATAACATATTATCATCATTAACATGATATCACTGCACTCTATAATTAACATAATAGGAAGATTTTATGTGATCTCTTAAAAGCAGCTGTTGCTGAATTTGTTCAAATCTTAATTTAACTGAATCTGTATGAATCATTTAGTTTCCTCCTGCTGTCTGAGGCTATTGGGAGCTGGATACCAATGCTTAACGGTAACAAGTGTGGTGAATTCAGACTCATGCCTGAAGTGTTTTCTGGAATGGATGTTGCTTAAAGTGATTTATTCCTTGTTCTTATAAAAAAGATAGGCTCACC